AACAACTTCAAAGATGGTGACGGGTCATGTTCAGAATATGGCTCTCGCATTAGCGCCGCGTGCATTCGTCTCAAAAGCTTGCAACATATAAAAGGGTTCGCATGGCTGGAGTCCCAAAGCATGGCTTTCTGGTACTATTTAGGACTCTGAAGACGCAACAATCACGCTGATTCGTGGCGTTGAAAACCAAAGACGAGTGTTCTGGCAAGATTGAAGGTTCTGAGACAGTTGCCTTCACATGGGGCACCATCCGCCATGAAAATAAATAGTCGTAGGGACCTGTGAAAAGGAAACTTGGAGGAAGGGTGTGTTGCAACATTGTTAAAGCGTCTTGGGTTTAACCTGGTCCTCCTTCTAACGGGCCGCTACTAACGGGGCCGCTGACGGGGACGCCCCCCCCCGTGTTATTTGGTGGGAGGAGGATGAGAGCTTGATCCCTGACTGCACGCGCGAATAGAAGCAAAGGTTGCGTCGGCAAGGCGCCTAATTTTACGAGGAACTCTGCTTGAACTCTGCTACGTGCTAATTGCCAGAAGGGTACGACGACAATCCCAGACAGGCAGAGAGGAATAGGGAGGAAGACGAAAGGGAACAAACAATACGAAACCACCAGAAAAGAAAACGCGGCGGAAGAGAGGCTCCCTCCTCCCCCCCGTATCACCATGATTCGCGCCGGCGCGGTCTGGGAAGGGCTAGGGGTGGCTAACTCCCAGACGGCGCTGGCGCGAGTCGCCCCTCCCCCCTCGGTAAAAGACACGATCGCGAGAGGATATGAAATAGGCCCCAATCTTCCTGACTCTCCTCCTCCAACTCCTCCTCCTCCTCCTCCTCCTCCTCCTCCTCCTCCTCCTCCTCCTCCTCCTCCTCCTCCAGGAAGGTCCCCAGAACGAGCATCTAAACTAGATGCTCGTTCTGGGAACCTTCCTGGAGCCACTCGTCGCAGTGATGCGTAAATGCTGAGTCGAACGTCCGCAAGGTGGACCCCAAGAAAATCCCCTAAAAGAACAGATTTGGGGGAACAAAGAATACCCATACCGAAACTTCCCGGGCCTCTTCCGGGGTACGTTCTGACCGGGATTTCGAGGCGAATCCAGCCGTGGCGACGGGGAGTGGGTAGCGATATCGGAGTCTTTGCCTCATCAGAATCTGGCCGACTCGCCTGGACCCCCTGAGGCGAGCCCCGCGATCCGGATTTGCTCACGGGGGTGACGGCGCTGGGTGAAGGCAGAGCTCGCCTGGACCCCTGATGCGGGCAAGATGTGCATCCGTATTCACTGCACCTTGGAGTTCCGGGACCCCCTCCCCGGGCCCCAGACGTCGCTGGCAGAAGCGGCCAGCTGCCCGTCTCGGGCGCGGCCCAGCAGCGGCGGCACAGGAGGTGCACGTGCTCGAGGTCCCGCGCCACCGACCACCTCGGGGGGACCGAGGGAGATTTCTGTTTGCCCCCCCCTCCCTCCCTCCCTCGATCCTCGATCCTCGATCCTCGATTCCCGATTCCTCCTCGCAGGTGGAAAAGATTTCACCTACAATGCCTGCAAGTCCTCATGCTGCCGCAGAGGGAGTGACGCGCGCCGTAGGCGCGTGGCCCGATGCAGATCACAAGCATAGTCAAGCATTAGCCAACGTCGTCGTCAGGCTCAGCGACAGCTTACGCGTGGCCAAGGATAGGGAGCAAGTTGCGGCGCAGCAGCTCGTCTTAGCAGAGAGGGCCAAGCGCAGCGCGACCGAGGTCCTCGCCAAGATCCAGGGCGTGCCAGTTGCAGGAGGACAAGGCGGAGGCGCTGCAGGAGGCGGTAAGGAGCGCAAGTTTAACCTGAGCTGGGACACCACGCTCTTCGAGAGGCTTGAAGAATTGGATTGCGAGGAGCACGAGAGGCAAGACTTGATGAAGTTTCGCGCCGGAGGGATACTCCTCCGACCTGGAGGCCTCTGACCCTCCCACCTGGAGACGCTGCGGATCACCCTGGACGCCAAGGAGACCGAGGTGGCCGCCACGATGGCCAGGGCGGAGAAGCTTCGGAAGGAGGCGTCCGAGCGGCTCGCCAAAAAAAAGAAGGTGCAGGAGGAGCTGAAGGAGCAGGCCGTCAGCGGGGAGGCGGCTGGCAGCCAGGCATCGGCGCCCCCAGGAGTAGAAGCGGCTCCTCCCACGGGCCAGCCGCAGCCTGGCGCAGCAAGCCACATCGCAGCTGGCTCCAAAGGGCGACGAGGGGCTGCTGCGCGAGGCGGCGGAGAAGCTGTCCAAGGCCAAGTTCGAGGCGCAGCAGCAGCTCCTCCTGGAGCAGCAGACACAGTTGGGCAGGGTCAGCAGGCAAGGGAATGGCGCGGCAGCGGGCCAGCTGGGCAAAGGCTCGGCGGGCAACGGCGGCGGCGGCGGCGACCCTGAACTTTGACTATCTAAGGAAAACGCTCAGGTAAAGAGCGCAGGGCAAACTGAGATGTGCAACAGGCCGCCCAAGAGTGCAGTTTTGCTTTCTGCGCCAATCTCAGCATTGGGAGAGAAGACGTGGAAGTGGCACGTGGCGGCACGGGGGCGAAAAGCCGGCAGGCATGGCCAGATGGTCAGACCAAGTGAGAGCCCCTAGGTGCAAGCACCTGCTTGGGGAACAATGCCCCCCCCCCACCCACACTTCGCTCAGCTGCGCTGCCGCCGCGTCGCACCACGCCTCTCGCACCCCGACCTCTTGACCCCTGGAACCTTCGGGGCAGTGGGCGGCCTCCCCGCTTCAGGAGAGGCGAGCCGATGTCGAAGGGGGCTAGGGCCGGCCCACGCTCGGGCCCCACCTGCACACGCACCGCGCCACCACAGACAGCCTCGCCTTCCCTCCCTTCCCCCTCTGTGCACTCATCATCTCCCTTCCTATCCCCCTCCCTTCCACTCCCTTCCCCTCCCTTCCCCTCTCTCCCTTCCCCTGCATTCCCCTCCCTTCCCATCCCTTCCCCACCCCCTCCCTTCCCCTCCCTTCCCCTCCTTTCCCCTGCCCCTCCCTTCCCCTCCCTTCCCCTCCCTTCCCCTCCTCCTCCCTGCCTCCCATCCCCTCCCTTCCCTGATCATCCGCCTCGCCGTTGGGTCACCCTGCTCCTCTCTCTGGGCCTCTTGGTTTTGCTTCCCCTCTCACCGGCGCTCCGGTGGGGGAGGGGGGTCGAGGGCCGCACTCGCCGAGACAGAGGTCCGCGGCACGAAGATCGAAGGAGCAGGAGGAGGAGGAGAAGGAGGAGGAGGAGCAGCAGCAGCAGCAGGGGGGGAGGAGGAGGAGTAGGAGTAGGAGTAGGAGTAGGAGTAGGAGTAGGAGTAGGAGGAGGAGGAGGAGGAGGAGGAGGAGGAGGAGGAGGAGGAGCAGGGAGGAGGAAGAGGAGAAGCGTCACGCGTCTGCAGCTTCCCGGCACACGCTTCAGATGCGGGGACCTGGCGGCGGCCATCCGCTCCAGGGCGCCCGCGGCACGGTCCAGCATCACCCGCGGCGCTCCTGCCGGAGGCGGGCCAGGCTGAGGCCACGGCGGCTCCCCCGCCCAGCCCCCCGTGTCCGCTCAGCTCTGGTCCCCGGGGTACAGTAGGAGCTCGACCACGAGGAACCTCCCACAGGACACCCAGCCCTGAGACCCCAGGACGTCCATGGATCTTTGGTGTGGGAACGCCACGCTTTCCACAAGAAAGCCATCGGAGCCCAAGAAACCCGGGGCGCCCTGGAGGCAAGCAGGGTGTTTTTTGGCATGGGTTCCCACTGTAAGATGAAGCGAGGACAAGGACAACATCGGACAGGGGATAAGTTAAATCGGGAATACATGAGAGGCGGCTCTGGAGGCGCTCCACGGAAGAAATTCAAGGTACCCTTCGGCGCAGCGGACATTCGCTGTTGGCCGTCCGAATCCGCGTGGAAGCAAGAAATTCAAGGTACCTTCGGCGCAGTGGGGTTTCTTCGGTGGCCGGACATTCCAGCAATTTCGCTGTTGGCCCTCCGAGTCCGCGTGGATGCATGGAACTCAAGGCACCTTCGGCGCAGCAGGCTTTCTTCGGCGGCGGGGCATTGCTTCCGCGAGGTGCAATTGGGAAGAAACCTCAGGGTTCCTGAACGCGAAAGGTTCTTGACGCCCGCGGGAAACCATCGCAGAACGCGCGGAGCGAAGCAACCCAAGATGCCCTGACGAAAAGCATCCGGCTTCTTGGTACGCGCCCCGACTGTGGTTCTTCGTCCTGGCCCAATTTTTGATGGCCCTGAGGCCCGATGACGGCCTCAGGAAGGCGAGATCGGACGCCAAGATTGAGAAAATCATATCGTCGGAGATCTGGGCCCATCCTGACCCCCCCGTGTTCAGAGGCCTCCCAGATGGGGTCGGAGGAGCACTCCGCATCGCCGATGCATCGCCGAGGCATCAGCGATACACCGGCGACGTCGGCATGGTGAAAATTGGGCTAATTACATCTAGCGGCATCGCCAGTTCATCGGCGATGCCGCGCGGTCCTCCGGCCGGACCTACTCTCACCCTACCCGGAAAACCTAGAAAGTTTTCGAGGCGGCTGCGGCCGTGGTCGAGGCGGATCGGGCAGTGGCCCCGGAAGCCCCCCTCGATGATCCTCAGAACGCGCGTGGGCGCCAACGTGTGCTTGCACACCGAAGCCCTTCGACACGACGCAAGCGGCACGGCGAAGGCCGACGCAGGCGGGGCGTTCCCGGCGGAGCCGAGCGGGGTACGCGCGACTTGGGCCAGCGCACGCCCTGAGGGCCAGTGACCCTCGGGGGCCCCACGAGGGCGAGCCAACGCCAGGGAGGGCCGCCGCTGCATCGGCCGGCCCTCTGCCGAGCCGCTCCTGGCGCGGCGCCAGGGCCGTGGGCGTCCGGCGGCAGGCTCTGCAGGAGGGTCGGGGCCCCGGGGGCCAGGGCTCTGCGAGCCAGGACGTCCCTGGACCGACAGCAAGGCGCAAGGCAACGAGATGCGTCTGGGAGCGGCAGAGACATCCACATGCGCGCCTTCGCGGTATCTGCAGTCCGGGGCGCGATCCCGCGGACACGCGGTCGCACCGATACGCTGCGCGCGGGGCATCCGCAAACGAACGCCCCTCATCCGCAGGGTCGCGGCCCAGGGGTCGGGCCCGTTTCGCCCACGACCTGTTCATATCCATTGCCCCAGGTTGGGCCCAGAAGCGGTGCGTATGCCTCCCTGGCCCAGCCAGGAGGGCGTATACACCAGCCCAGACTGGGCCAGGTCTGGGGCAGCGGTTATGTATAGATCCCGTCGCGCCATATTGCGGTCAGACACTTTGATGTAGCGTTTTCAGATATGTTCGAGGCCTGGGGTGGTTTCCAGCAGCTGCGCCTCGTCGAGCGTTCCAGAGTGGCCGGGATCGTCCCGAACGGTTAAGCCGACCTTTGGCCCGAAAGCCAAGGGGCGACAGTAACTTTGTCTTAGCGTGTCCGGCTGCCGGTTTTGGACCACCGCGCTTCGGCGCGACACGTAATCCACGCTCCAATTCCACGGCGTCAACGTCCCAAACCTTTCCCGATGTCCCGCCCCGCGGAACGGAACAACACGCCATCAGCTCACAGGGCATAGCGTGTCGCCAGGGTCGCCGCCGCGACACGCTAAGCAAAAGCTCTCGACCGCACGATCGACAAATTTAACATCAAAAAATGCTTTACGCGGTTTCCTGGTCGATGTGATGTTCCAGGTTTGGGCGACATTCCGTGCAGAGTACTTGTTCGCGCCCACTCTCCAATATCGGTCATCGTGGAATTTCCGAATCGCACCTCCCCAAACCGACCGTCACTCTGCTGCGGCATCAACGGGGGGCAACATCGAAGGGGCGAAAGTGGGCGGCATCGACGGGGGGCGTCAACCACTGTTGAGGCTCACTCTGCCGAGGGCTGTGGGTCACCAAATTTCGAGCGTCGCTCACCGCGATGCGCGGCGCGATCATCGGCGCGCCCTCGCGGGGGATCCAAACGCCGCCCTGGCCCACACCGCGGCGCGCGAAACAACGATCACCTGCGCGCCCCCGCGGAGGACCCGGCAGACCCCGCGGCAAACACCGCTTTTTACGTCGCAGCGCGCCAGGGGCAGTCCGCGCGCGCGCTCGGGCAAGCCGGGCGACGGCACTTCGAGTTGCTGGCAGCGCGGTAGGAGTGAGGAAGGGGGGGAGGACAGGACATGCGCCGACGTGCGCCCCGAGGGGCGGCCCTCCAAGAGCTCGGCGGGGGCGCCGCAGCGCCGAAACTCAGATGTCGTAGCACATGAATACTTTACGATCTCGAGTGTGTACCATTGGCTCCACTGATACGAGCGGCCGCGGCAAAGGATGGGAAGGCTGGAGCGCTCACGCGGCGGGGCCCGCTGCGGAGCGGCCGGGGCGGCCGGCCGGTGCAGCACCCCTGGCAGCAGGCGCGGGGCGGCAGGCACGTCAGGGAGATGAAATATGCTCCGACCACCACGGCTGCAGTTCCCTCGGACGTGCCGACGCCCCTGAGTCTACCAATCGGCGGTTCAACGATGGGGTCCTGAGGGATGGGGTCCCAGGGACAAGGTGCCTCAAACAACGTAATTCCACCCTTCGATCCCTTCCTATCCTTAGGTCCCCATCCCTCAGGACCCCATCTTTCAACCACCGAACCAAGAAGTCACCGCTAACGGGGCAACGACAGAAGGGAACCAGATCAGGGGGGGGAATCAACCCTGGGCATCGTTCGGACGTCCATTCCCTGTGCCTTTTTGGACATCGTGCGTGCATTCCTGTCGCAAGGTGGCCCAAGATGCTCCACCATGGTGCTGGCCGAGAAAAATGCCCACGTCCGAGCGATGCCCTGGAATCGGCGATCCATCGCCGAGAGATCGGCGACAGGTCCCTGACAGCGAATCCGCCCGTTCCCTGGGCGAGGTGCGCTTTCGAGCCCCTATCGGCGACCAATGGGCGATTGGGGGTCGATGTCCCCCCCCCCCCCCCGAGCCTACGTATCCCCAGCTGCCCCCTGGCTTTCAGGTCATAACTCAGCTCTCCAGAGGCCGTTCGGGACGACCCCAGCACCCCCGGAACGCTCTCGACGAGGCGCAGCTGATGGGAAACACCCCAAGTTCCGAAAAGTCACAAGAATCTGCGGGAACCTCCGAAAACCGCGAGCTGAATGATATGACCGCGGCAGTTGCTACGGGGCGGCACCTGTCACCCACTCATACGGTAGGTTAGGACAGATAACCGATACAACCCATGTAGAGTATCATTTGCTCATGAGCCCCCTATCCCCATAGCAGCCCCAGCGGGCATCCCAGAACCCCGCACTCACTGAGAAGCCTCCCGGATGGGGTCGGAGCACATGGGGTCGGAGGATCTCGTCGCATCGCCCATGCAGGAGGCACGACACGCGACGCATCGGCGATGCATCGGTGCCGTCAGCGTGGAGAAAATCGAGCTCCACATAGAGCCGCATCGGCGATGCATCGGTCATGCGGCGCAATCCCCCGACCCCGTCCACTCGGACCCCATCTGGGAGTTCTGCACTCACGTTGTCCCTGACCCGCGGACGGGGCCCCGAGAGACGGACCTTCCCAAACCATTTCGAGCACATGTTACCCGTTCAGTATGGCTGAATCACAAGTGCCCTAAATGCCGCAGGCTAAGATATACGCGTCGTCCATTTCTAACCGTGTTCATTTCTAAGTATGCTCGCTTCTAGTTGTTCCTGGCCCCGTAGTGGCCAGGAAGAGGCCCAGGATAGAACAATTAGCAATGAATGGATCTGGGCCCCAAAAAAATCAAAGAACTGTCGAATAATTAGAGATTAACACTGTGTAGCCTACCTTAGCATCCGCTCCTGAGCCCCCATATCCCCTGAGCAACCGCCGCGGTCATCTTAGCGTCCCCCCCTCACTTTGCCCCAGACCCGTCGACGGGCACCCAGAGAGGCCCCGATGACATTAGCACTTTAGGGCACCTGCAACTCACTCATCCTGAGTGGGTTACACGTGCTCTACACAGTTGGCCAGATACAACAAACCCCAGCAACCGCTCCTGAGGCCCCCTAACCCCTGAGCAACCGCCGCGGTCATCTCATCGTCTCCCCCTCACGCTGCCCCAAACCCGTCGACAGGACCCCGAGAGGGGCCCCGTTGACCTCAGCATCCTAGGAGGCCTGCAACCTAGTTATTCTGAATGAGATACCGATGCCCAATATGGTTTACGCCAGACACCACCTACCGTAGCAACCGCTCCTGACCCCCCTTTATCCCCTGAGCAGACGCCACGGTCATCTCAGTGTCCCCCCGCACGTTGCCCCAGACACGTCGACGGGGCCCCGAGAGGGGCCCCGTTGACCTTAGCATCTTAGGGCAACCGCAACCCACTCATGATGAGTGGGGTACAGGTGCCCTAGGTAGTTTAGGCAAGACATCGCCTACTTAGCATCCGCGCATGACCCCCCTATCCCCTGAGCAACCGCCGCGGTTATCTCAGTGTCCTCCCTCACGTTGCCCCGTTGACCTTAGTATCTTAGGGCACCTGTAGCCCGCCATGAATGATGAGTGGGTTGCACGTGCCCTAAGTGGACTAGGCCAGATACAACCAACCTGAGCATCCGCTCCTGAGCCCCCTATCCCCCCCTCACGTTGCCCCGGACCAGTCGACGGGGCCCCGAGAGGGGCCTCGTTGACCTTAGCACCTGAGGGCACCTGCCACCCACACGTTATGATTGGGCTGGAAGGTCCCAAAATGGCTTAGGCCAGCTGGCACCCACTTTGATAACCACACCTGAGGCCACCTATCGCGTGAGCCACCGCCGCGGTCATCCGAGTGCCGTCGACGGGGCCACGAGAGGGGCACCTTTGACCCTAGCTCCTCAGGGCACCTCTAACCCACTCATGAGGAGTGGGATACTGGTGCCCTGAGTGGCTTATGCCAGATATAATCCACCTTAGCACCCGCTCCTGAGCCACCTGTCCCCTGAGCAACCGCCGCAATCATCTCAGTGTCAATCCCTCACGTTGCCCAGACCCGTCGACGAGGCCACGAGAGGGGCACCAGTAACCCGCTCATGACGAGTGGGCTACTGCTGCCCTAAATGTTTTAGGCCAGATATAATCCACGCATCCGCCCCTGAACCACCTTATGCCGTGAGCAGCCTCCGCGGTCATCTCAGTGTCCCCCTTCACGTTGCCCCGCACCCGTCGACGGGGCCCCTCCCCGTTTACCTTAACATCTCAGGGCACATGTAACCCACTCATTCTGCATGGGTTACAAGTGCCCGAAGTGGTTTAGGCCAGACATAACCCACGTTACCATCCGCTCCTGGACCCCCTATCCCCTGAGCAACCGCTGCGGTCATCTCAGTGTCCCCCCCTCGCGATGACCCGCACACGTCGACGGGGCCCCGACAGGGGCCCCATGGACCTTAGCATCTGAGGACACCTGTAATCATGAAAGGGTTACAGGTGCCCTAAGTGGTTTAGGCCGGATATAGCCCACCTTCGCATCGGCTCCTGAGCCCCATATCCCCCGAGCAACCGCCGCGGTCATCTCAGTGTCCTCCACTCACTCTGTTTGAATGGGCTACAGGTACCCTACGTGGTTGATACCAGATATGACCCACCCACATTGGCATCCGTTCCCGAGCCTCCTACCCCCTGGGCAACAGTCACGGTCCTCTCAAAGCCCCACGCACACACCTTCACGTTGCCCCCGACCCGTCGAAGGGGATCCGAAGAGAGGAGGGCCCCGTGGACCTCAGCATCTTAGGGCACCTGTAACCCTTCCATGATGGGTGGATTACAAGTGCCCTCAGTGTTTTAAGCCAGACATAGCCCACTTCAGCATCCGCTCTTGAACTTCCTATCCACTGAGCAACCGCCGCGGTCATCTCAGTGCCCCCCCCACCCACGTTGCCAGAGGGCCGTCGATACAAACCCCGAGGTGAGGAGGACCCCGTTGACCTTAGTCTCTCAAGGCACCTGTAACCCACTCATGATGCGTGGGTTACAAAGGCCCTCATTGGTTTGGACCAGATGAAGCCCACCGTAGCATCCG